GCCATAACTCATATTTTTAAATCTACAAAATGTGTAGAAATTCATCAGATTGAAGTATAGAAGTGTGAGAGGGTAAGAGTAAAGACCAGGGCTTTAGATTTCTAGGTGGGTGGTCCACCAATCATACAGAGAGGGTGGAAAGCAGAAGTTTCTGAACAAGAGGCATGGCAAAGAAGTCTTGGACTGTCTAAAAGAGCTACCCATCTATTTCACATAGTGTGTTTCCCATCCTCAGAATCTATTAAAATGGTAAGGGTTCTTTTTACTTACAGGGATGAAACTCTAACAGATTTGTTGAGCCCCTCAGAAAACTGTGCCTCTCTAAATCAACTTTTGATTCTTCCAAAGTTGGAATTTAATTACACAGTTCTCTGAGAGGAGTTTGGGTCAAATAAGCATTGATCTTGTCTACTTTTATTTGAATGAGTTACAGAGAGAGGGAATTTTCATTATGGTATTCAATTTTAGATCTCTGTATTTGAAAGAACATAATTTTAAAGATTAAAAAGTAATTCTTTTTTCATTATGAATGCCATGCAGTTAGAGTTTAGGTTTAGAATGTTAAGGTCTTTCCGATGGTAGAAGTGCAAAGGTAGCAGTCGATTGAGTTCTGACTCATGATTCTTGTAGGTGATCTTTGCAGAGCTGTTTCAACTGCCAGCACCCCCTCACATTGATGTGATGTATGCAACACTTCTCATTGAACTCTGCAAACTTCAGCCTGGCTCTCTACCCCAAGTTGTATCCTTTTTTTGTTTTGTTTTTAAACATACTCTTTTTGTCCTAGCTTTAAAAGATTATTAAATATTTGTGTTTGCGGGCTTAAATTCTGTAAGTTAAAAATACAGCTTTTTAAATGTGTGTATGTCACATACGTGTACTTGTATGTCTATAAATATATACGTATCTAAAAATAAATAATAAATACATATATACTTCACTATTTGGGTCAAGAAGTTTAAGAAAATACTATAAAAGAAGAAAAGTTGGCATTTTCAATTTTTAAGGAAAGAAAAAAAATTTTAATTTTCCTGAACTAGTATACAATCTCTCTTTCTTAGATCCCTAGGAGGTTAGATGTTCATTTGACTGGAGGACAAGGTCAAATAATCCTTCGTAAGCCTAATGTTCTACCACTAATAAAAAAATAAATGGCTCTCCGTTCCAAGATTGAAAATATACTAATAACTTATGAGCTAAATTTTCTCAACTTCAGTTTTATTCCACAAAGTTTTAAGTTTTAGGGACAGTAGTTCTGATTTGCTTTGTTTCAGTGCTGAAGTATAATATTTGAATAAGAGTGAGAAACTAAAATGCACATTATAAAATTAACACATAACCCCCCCACGTTATGAAATAGTATATACTGTCATACCTTAAAATCTCTCCTTAAGTCTAAGGACTGCTAGATTCTTTGATACCTGAACAAGTTTGGGAGGCCTTGCATTGATTTAACATGTTTTTACGAATTGAAGATGCTATGTTTCCTTAATGCCTATGATTTAAAATAAAGTATAGTGAAAGGATTTTCTCATCAATTTTGGGCTCTTAATTAATTTGCTTTGGGTTTTTTAAAAAATGAAATTTTGTGGCCAGGCACAGTGGCTCATGCCTGTAACCTGTAATCCTAGCACTCTGGGAGGCTGAGGCAGAGGCGGGGAATGGATTACAGAGGAGTATAGGGAAGTTTTGGAGGTGATGAAAACATTCATTATCTTGACTTCATCAGTGTATAACAGGTTAAATTTATTGCACGTCATTGAACTTAAAAGGTATTAAGAAAAAACTCAAGAATAGATCAATTATGTAAAAAGATGCTCAGCGTTGTTAGTCATTATAAAGACTTAACAGAAATGTTTTAATTTTTTCTGTTACACAATTTATTTTGGATGAGAGTGGAGAATAGTTTTCCTTATCCTCAAATTCACAGCTGGCACAGGCAACTGAAATGTTATACATGCGTTTGGACACAATGAATACCACATGCGTAGACAGGTACAGTAATTGCCTTATTTCTATACTAAGTGTCAATAGCTTCTACTTCTTGTACTTTATAAAGGAATTTGATCAAGACATTTGCCGTTTTAAGAATTTCCATATTGAGTTTTCTTTCTTGCCTCCCCAAAATAAACTTTGTATATTAACAAGACTTGTACTTATTGGAGTGCAATGTTACATTTTTGATGCCTATGCGGCAGTTTTAATTTCATTCATTGTTTATGTGTTTGGTACTTTGGTACAGTTTTACTTTTTCCCTCTGTGATTGCATATGTACACTTTTAAAATATGTTTTATGCTAACCCCTATGTAGAAGGGGAATCTAATGTGTATACTTATTATATATAAATATTAACTATATATTTTTTGTTTATAATAAATAATGTATATTCTTTGTTTATAGGTAGTATCTGCTTCTAAACTCTAGCTTTTACATAGAAGTCTTTTCAAACCTACAGCTTCAAGACTCTTAGTTTATATAAAAGATCGTATTTCACAGCTGTGGTAATTGCATGGTCACTATTTTCTTTTGGGTGAGGTCTGTGTGATCACCTTTATTAGATGGTATTCTTTCTTTGCTCTGTCAGTTTTCCAAATCAAATAAGGACAGGTATTGAACACTTCTGCAGTTTCTATGATCATGTCCATTGTTCAAATTCCATATTTGAAAATTATCATTAAGGGCTATCCTGTGTCATTGACCTTTTTACCTTGAGTAATTTTAGTGATTGAAGTTATAGATACATGAAGGACATGCTTTAAGAGAATGTCTTCTCTGATTTTTTTCCCATTCTAGTTAATAAAATAGCAGTTGTGTTAGGCGTCTCCATTATGCCATTCATTCAGCAAATATTTATTGGATTTTTATGAAGTCCACAGCATTATATAGAATAGTAAGATGTTCCCTATCTAGGTAGAGATCAGGAATGTTTTTAGGGGAAAAGGGGGCTTCAATGATATATTCTGCTTATAGTGAAAGGGGCATGGTGTGATAAGAGACTATACTACTTTGGCTCTGCCATTTATAGAATCTTTTTTTCCCCTCAGTTTCATCATCAGTTATTTGTGATGTATAACCTCAGAAGTTGTGAGAATTAAATTATGTGAACATATAAGGTGACTGCACAAAACAGGTGCTGGAATCATATCTCTTATTCACCTAAAAAAGATAAAAGATAGCACTATTAGAAGTGACATAGGGGACTATTAAAAAATAAGTTACAGGATTCGCAGAGAAAAGAATTAGTGGCAGGAGAACATACAGCTGCAGGTAGAGGAAAGTGCTTTTCATTAACTCTGTAAAATAGGGTTTTATCTGTTTTGAAGGATTTTATAAATTTCTGTTCTAAATCACAACGATTCTTCCTTTTTCTGTCCCCACTTCCCCTTTTCTGTGTAGGTTTATTAATTGGTTTTCTCATCATCTAAGTAACTTCCAGTTCCGTTGGAGCTGGGAAGATTGGTAAGCAATGATGTGTTTTATCCTTCCTTTCCCTAGTCAAAAAACTGTTACTGTTTAAAACTGTGACATAAAAGCAGCCTTCACTGTCTGAGTTATTTCCTTTCTTTGATGTTAATTTACTATGTATAAATGAAACAGTAAGTAGAAAGAAACTATTTGTAGTTTAAGTACAAATAGTTATAAGTGCAGTTATAAATTAACAAAATTTATGAGTTGCAATTGTGTGTAAGAACTTATAAAACCACATTTCCTCATTAGGTCAGATTGTCTTACTCAAGATCCTGAAAGTCCGAAGCCAAAGTTTGTAAGAGAAGTTCTAGAAAAATGTATGAGGTAAGTTTTTTGTGTTTTCTCCTTATTTTAGGTCTCCTAATTTCTGTGGGGGGATTTTTTTCTCATCTCTGCATTTGTGATGTATGTTCCGAATACCATTTTTGAAATCCAAGTACTTGCCCATCTTAAATCTCACTTTTTAATCGAGATTGAAGCTGAAAAAATTAGGCGACCATGCCATCTAGAATCTATTGTGAATTAAGCCAGGAAGTTCTGTTAAAAATATTATTCTATGAAATGATTTCAGATTTATAGAAAAGTTGTCAAAATAGTACAGAGAACTCTGTCTCCTGTTCACCTAAATTCCCTCCCTAGTCGTTAACATTTTATCATGTTTGCTCTCATGCTCACTGCTTTTTTCCCTCTCCAGATACCCATTATATTGGTCTTGAGAATAAACTGTAGACATGGCAGCCCTCCTCTTTCAACATCCATTACACATTTCCCCAAAACAAAGCCACTGTCCTACATAGCCAGCATAGAACCCTCCGGATCAGGAGATCAGCTCTGGTACAGTACTACCACACAATCCACAGATGCTGCTGAAATTTTGCTAGCCATCCCAAGAATGTCTCTTTTTTCCTTTCTGGTCCAGAATCCTATCCAGGAACATGTATAGTATTGAGTTGTCATTCTCTTCAGATTCCTTCAGTCTTGCACGTTTATTCTTTCTGTCTTTTGTGTCTTTGTGAGTTTTAAACAGTTTAGACCTTACTGTATTGGATTGCTCTGATATTTTCTCATGAGCAGACTCAGGTCTTGCATTGTTGGTGCTCTCAGTGTGTCCTGTCTAAAGGCACATGAATCCTACCTCTTGATGTTACTCTTGATCATGTCAATGTCTGCGGGATTTCTCCCCCTTAACTCTACTGTTTTTCCCCTCGTAATTTATTAGTTATTTTATGGGAGATATTCTTAGGTTACACTCTTATCCTATTCTTTATCAAACCTCCACTCTCCTCTGAAAACTACTTTTATCAGCCATGACTAAGATGATTGCCAAATGATGATTTTCTTTGTCCATTGTTTTTTCTACATTTATTAGCTGGCATTCTACTGTAAGAGCTGTTTTTTCTCTCCGTTTGTTTTTTTCTTTCTTTATGTATCGGTAGGGACTAACGAATTTGTTTCATTCAATGGATTATAATCTGTGACTATCATTATTTATCGTGATGTCCAAATTGTCCCTGATTTGTCCACGTGAATCCCTGGTAAGGCCTGTGTCTTTTTAAAATGTCCTCTACCATTCTTTCATTGAGCATTTTCTTATTTTCTGGCACAAGATGTTCTCTGCTCATCTTATGTTTCCTTGTCCCTCCCCTGGAATCATCTGTTTATTCAAAGAGCCTTAGTGTCTAGTAGTGGAGTATAGTATGTAGGAACCAAGATCTGGGTACTTAATGTGCTCGTTGCCATTGGGATGTCATTGGTTCTAGTCCCTCTCAGTGGACAAACATACATATATCTATAACTTTTTATATCTACCTGTGTGTGCATATCCCTCCAATTCCAATCCAACATCTCTTTTCCTGCCTTCTTCTCTGCCATGGTATGTAAATACTTTCTCAGGCAGTAAGAAACTTGGCCCTTGTTATCCTCAGTATTTATTTGGTACAATATAACCATCTTCCAACCATAGAGACTGTAACCTCCACCCCACCCCACCATTGCCCGACATCCTTGGCTACCAGGCTTGTGGGCCCACTAGTCTACATCTGAGTGCAATCCAGTAAGTTTTGAAGTAGGCCTGAGATTTGGGATGCTGGCTTAGACAATAGCCTAAAGGACTTTTCTCCCCTTTCATTTCTTAGTTGTTAGCTGAGTTCAGGGTATTGGACATTGTGACTTTCCAGGTAAGTTGGGTGTTACCAAAGAATGGAACTGATGAAAGACATTTTCTGAGGCTGTTATTTGTATTGTAGGTTGTCTTACCATCAGCGTATATTAGATATTGTTCCTCCTACCTTCTCAGCTCTATGTCCTGCAAACCCAACCTGCATTTACAAGTATGGAGATGAAAGTAGCAGTAAGTAATAAAATAAAATAATCCCTTTGTCTGAAAGTACCAATGCAAGTATATCTGAAGTCACTTAAGGTGGAGAAATTGAGCTTTTCCTTTTCTTGGGGTTTATATTTTCTCTATTTGAAAGGTGGTCTATCACTAGCCACTATTGTTTTACTTGCCTTGTCATCATTTTGAGGATTTTCTTGGGATCTAATTAGTTATTACTGGCTTACAATTTTTTCTTTTTTGATACTATTTATGGTGTTGTGCCCATGGTATTATTTTAAATACAGTGCTAAGCATAGCAAGATGAATTTATAGCCAGAACTTACTAAACTGAAAATGTGTACTTGTCCTGATGATGGAGATTACTTGAATTAATTATCATCTTTATAACAGTTCAGGTGTGGTGTTGGGAACATAGGTACACACAGTCTGTGGCAACATGCCTCTAGAAGTAAATTTTTAAATATGATTTCCTTACCTTTTTGGTTACATCATCTCTGAGATTACACCATAATCCAGAGGGACTATAATTTGATATTTTTCACTTTGCATTTATGCCTAATGAAGGGAAAGTGTTATACATTTGTGATTGCTGGTAGAGAGTTAGGTGTAGAGTTTTTCCAGGTTATTTTCAGAATGCACTGAACACACAGCCCCTCCATGAGCCTTCCATTTCATGTCATGCAGAGGTTCTTCACATCTGGAAATACTCTACTCTCGCTTTTCGTATTCTACCCCCTACTTCTCCACTTATGTCTCTGACAACACCTGTTTACCTTGAAATAAACTTTGTTGGTCCTGATGCTAAGTACTTTCCTATGTTATACCAACTCTGAGAAATAGGTATGATTATACCAATATTACAGTGGAGAAATGGCTCCAAGAGGTCAAGCCAGAATGAGATTGCTTCTGAGTGGTAGGGCCCAGATTCAAATCTAGGTGCACTAACTAAGCAGCCTTGTTCTTAGCTACTGTGCTTTCTAGGAGATGAAATGTTCATATAGCACTTAGAAGTTCTAGATTTAGAATTTTGTCTTGTACTAGCTCAGAATCACAAGGTACAGTCTTTGCTATCAGAGAACTCAGATTTTCGTTGAAGATTGAGCTTTCTTTTTTTTACCATAGGAATAACTCAATCTAACATTTAAGGCTTTGGTAACAGTTGTTCCTACTTTATTATTTTTCATTTCCCCCCAAATGGACCTCTACTTCTGCCAGGCCCACGTCCTTTTTAATTTTTTCCATACTTCTTGTTCTTGGTTTTGCCTTTCTGTCACTATCCCGATCTCTTTCTCTCTCTAATTGTCATTCTCTTTCTAGGGTCTAGCCCAAGCCCCACACCTGTAAATGTTTTTTTAACTTTTAGCAAGCCGGTTTTGTATTGCTCTCTGGCTACATCTAATACAAATATCTTGGCTCCCTGGCTAGAATATAGACTCCTTGGTGATAGGGGATTCTGTTTTTCTTCACTTACTTTCTTACTGCCAGGGAAAAGCTCACAGCAGGTGTAACATGACTGTCCTCACATGACCTGTTGTGAGTGAGTTTATTCATTCCAGGTGCTTAGTAACTCACACTCTTATGACAGGATTGTCTTTTGTGTTACCTTTTTGCCTCCCTTATATTAAAAGCATATTTCTGTTGCTCTGATGATGCCTTACAGTATATACCTGCACACATTTTATACAGTAAGGATTTAACTGATATTAACCAGTATTAAACACAAGGAGTCACATCACATGAGCATCTGACTTAAATAGATTCAAGCTTGTAGACTCAGCAAAGAGGAAAAGCAAAAACAAAAAACCCTCTCTTAAGTTGGCGGCATTTCCTTGTTCAAACTCAAACTTAGTTTTCACTGTCCCAGGGGAAAGAAGGAGGAAGGAGGTGTTGGCATAATGAAAGAGAAATAGATCAATTCTTGGCTTTTGAGCCCAGGAGAATTGAAGGCATTAAAAGAAAGCTGTAACTATATCCAGTGTTCTCCTCATCAGTCATCTTGAGGAAGATCAGCATCTCTTGTACTCTGGATTTCAATTAGCTAAGTGTTCTTAAGGAAGTGTTGAAATGAGAATTTTGTCTCTTTTTTTTGTTTTTTAGACGAGAAACCATTAACTTATTAAAGGAAACTTTCACATGCGGTATCTTTATACAGATTAAATACTGATCTTGGGATAGATTTTTCTATTTTGAAAGGAAAGAATTTTTTTTTAAGTTCTCAGTTATTTAACTATTATAAGTCTTTAAACCTAATCTTCCTTCCTCCCCGTTCTGTTTAGATTCTCTTCCTGGACATTCTGTTGCCCTCTGTTTAGCAGTTGCCTTTAAAAGTAAGGCAACGAATGATGAAATCTTTAGCATTTTGAAAGATGTACCGAATCCTAACCAGGATGATGATGATGGTAAGGGGAATTTAATGTTTCTTGAATGGAACTGTGTATAGGCCAAGTTAAAGCTTAAACATTACTCCGGCAACATGAGTCCCTTTTAAATCCCATTGGATGCTCATTAAGCAATGTATCTGTTTGGTCTGTTTAGCATGCAAGTTGTTCTTAGGACCCCAGTATTTTCCCCCTTATATAAAAAGAGATCCTAACATCTCGGAAATAGGTTACATTAAGAATATAAACTTCATCCTAAATACAAAATAAAATATACTGTTATCATTCAAGGATTTTTAAACATTCTCTACTTTCACCATAGATTCCTAAATAGGAAGACTTGGTATGTTATAAAGTTGGATATTTTCTCTAAATTAAGCCATAATAATAATAATGTTTAACATTTACTGATTTATAAGTTTACCTGGAATCAGTAAATCAGGAAAAAAATGGTGAGAGGGACTTGCCTTATCACATATTAAAAAACGTATTGTGAAAACTACAGTAACTAAAACAATGTGGCACTGGCACAAAAAGAGACAAATCAGTAGCACAGATGACAAGTCTCCTGGGACAGCTGGGTAACCATTTGGGGGGGTATTTTTTTGTAGATCTGTACATAAGGACATGCACATAGAAAAACAACTTAAGAATCAAAACATTAGTGGTCATTGGGTATTTATTACTGGGATTTTGTTTGTTTGGATTTTTCTAAGGAACTTGTATTATGATGTTAGAGAAAATGTATTTAGAAAACATAAGTTGAAATGATAATATTACATACATTGTCAGACATCTTAAGAGTTAAGGATTTACTGTATTTTTTGTTTTAAATATATTAACTTGCCATGATATAGAGAGACTTGAATAAGGAAATCTATTTTTTAAAGAAATGAGTCATGCAGAAAAATTAGGAAAACAGTACCATAAAATTAAGAATTAAGATTATGCTTAGTTTTATATTTTGAGGATTTGGGTCAGTGATGGTCTTTTATTATTTATTAATACTGAAAGACATTACACAAATATCTGACTTAGTGTTTGGATGTGACTTGCCATCTGTTTAGCATTTGAGGTGAGACACCAAGGAATTGCCATACTTTAAATTTTTGTATCTTATTGTGAAATATTTTTCAGATGAAGGATTCAGTTTTAACCCATTGAAAATAGAGGTCTTTGTACAGACTCTGCTACATTTGGCAGCCAAATCAATCAGCCACTCCTTCAGTGCTCTTGCAAAGTAAGTACAATAAGAGCACACAACCTTTCTTTGAGGGTTTGGAACTTTTCTTGGTGAACATCAATGGTATAGTAATTTTTACCTAAAATTGTTGAATCTGAACATGTTAACAGTATTATATAGTTTGATACAGTGGGTTTTGTTTTTTGGTAGCTAAAATCCCTATCCCATGGCTTTTGTCAGTCTGTATGTATAGCTTGCATATGTACAGAGAAAGTGCATTTTTTCATGTAGACAATTAGAGAAGCTAGTGAAAAAAAACCTAGGTCCTTGGGACAGTCATATATACAGTCAGAAGCTCCCACCCTGTTCAAGCATCTTCCCAAAAGAAGTTAAGAAATGAGAACCAACTAACATTGTTGGGAGCCCCTCAAATATTGGCATCTAAAGACAGAGTTCTCTAACCTGTCAGGTCCAAAAGAAGAAAGAGCATATAGATTTTCCTTTGGCCAAGCAAAGACACCTGACATCTCACCCCATCTCAGCTTTCAAGGCTCTGTATTACTTACAGGGTTCCTACAGAAGATGCAGTCAGAATATTTCAACACGTTAGAACAGCAGTCCCCAACCTTTTTGGCAACAGGGACCGGTTTCGTGGAAGACAATTTTTCCACAGACTGAGGGTGGGGGGATGGTTTCAGGATGATTCAAGCACATTACATTTATTGTGTAGTCAGACCTCTCTGCTAATGATAATTTGTGTTTTCCGCCACTCATTGCCTCAGCTCCACCTCAGATCCTCAGGCGTTAGATTCTCATAAGGAGCACACAACCTAGATCCATTGCATGCACAGTTTACAGTAGGGTTCGCGCTCCTATGAGAATCTCATGCTGCTGCTGATCTGACAGGAGGTGGAGCTCATGGGGAGCAGCTGTAAATATAGATGAAGCTTCAGTCACTGGCTCCCACACCACTCACCTCCTGCTGTGAGACCTGGTTCCTAACAGGCCACAGACTGGCACCAGTCCGCAGCCTGGGGACTGGGGACCACAGTGTTAAAAGACAGTTCCTTAGCCCTTACTATTCTTAAATACATAGTAAACTATAGTCCGGGGCTAGCTGTAGTATATTGTAAATATCTTAAGATTTTTGTGACAGCTTCCATAGAAACTATGAATCTCTAATCATACGTTTTACATCCTTGATGGTTAATATTTGGTTATTTTGCATTTACTTATTGCATTGTAAATTGAGTAACATTGAAAAGGTTTTGAAAACAATAAAATGCTTATATATGGTATTTTTCCCTTATTATCAAAAGGTTTCATGAAGTCTTCAAAACCTTAGCTGAAAGTGATGAAGGAAAGTTACATGTGCTAAGAGTTATGTTTGAGGTCTGGAGAAACCATCCACAGGTAACAACTATTTGATTAGACGTGTTGAGGTTCGGATTGTATAGGTATAAAAATAAGGGAGTTAATTTCCATTGTTTTAGTTTGAAAAATATGAAATTTGACTCTGCCTATAGAATGCCTTTAAAATGTGTAATTTTTTTTAGTGCTATGGGAGTAACGTTTGATTCATTCAAGTGTTACAGTTTGTTTTTGGAATATAATATTGCAACACATTTTAAATACTGTGTAGGAATGCTTGTTGCTGGGAAGATTCTACTACCCGAGCAGGAAATGATTATCTAGTGCAGCCAGTTTTTACAAGCAAGCTCCAGATTTCTCAAACCTCAATATGTTGTTTTTATACCGTGTATTATAAAGAGGCATTGAGGCAATGTTTTTTATGATTCAGTTGAAATTATATATATTTTTTATATAGGTATTATTATCTAAAATTTTTTTTTATTTAAATGTTACCACTCAAGAGTTTTTCTTTTTTGTTCAGTCAGTCCCTATTGGTGTTATAGTATTTTGGACAGCACTAGAGCCAAGCAAAGGGCAGAGTAAATCTTAAGATGTAATGGTCAAATCAGTTCCAGAGCCACTAAAAGTGAATTTTATAGTCGTCTTATTTCACTTTTATAGCAGCAGTATTATTTTGGCCTACGTACGTGTTTGTGATTTACTCAAATAATTCTTTCGTTGTAGATGATCGCTGTACTAGTGGATAAGATGATTCGTACACAGATTGTTGACTGTGCCGCGGTAGCAAATTGGATCTTCTCTTCAGAGCTGTCTCGTGACTTTACTAGGTAATACGAATTATCTTACAAAATTTGTGTTCTCGTGTGGTTTCTTATTACATGAGCTCCCAATTCTGGTCTAAACCAAGTTGATACTAATATACTAATGGTCCAATCTAATAAGATCGGACATAGCAAAAATTCCCAGACCATGGAAATATACACAGCCACGTATGTTGCAGTGTCTCTTAGGGACACACTTGTAAGTTGAGTCAAAACTAAAGCAGTCAGGTAGAAATGCTGTTGAAGGGTCTAGACTGTTAGGAAAGAAAACCAGCAAGAGCTGGCTATGTATTGGGGGTCTCAGACGGGAGTCAGGAATGGTTCCAGCTTCAGTGGAGATGGGACCTGGAATGCACACCAGGAACTACAAGAAACCAAAGCCATAGTAGATTAAATACATGTGGAGGGATTAGGGCAAGCCTGGTGGGTACCAGGATAACCTGGGGGTGGGGGTGGGAGTGGGAGTGGGGGTCTCACCACAGTTATAAAATCCTAGATTTAATGCAGAAGATTCATTCTATACTCATTCTCCCTAAAGGAAAGAAACTTTTCACTGTGTTTGGTTCTTATTCGTGAAGTTTCACAGGCTTTACAATTGATTAGAATTGGGACAGCCAGAGTTGACACAAAACAGGGAACAAAAGTGAATTACTTGGAAAGACATAAAAATCCATCACGACCTTTAACTTCTCCACTGTATCTGTTATTGCCAGAGGACGCTAGTCTGAAATATACTGAATCTTTAGGGTGATAGGATGTGATCTAAAGCTGTCATGCCAGCCAAGTTGGCCTTCACAAATGAAGACAACAGAAAGGCATTCTCAGATCTGTAAACTCTCAGAACACTAACCACCCAGGTATGTTTCACCTATTATCCTTAGTGATTTACATTTTCAACTCATTTTATCCTTACACCACCACCACAAAGGAAGTTCCATTATTGTCTACACTTTACAGAATAGGAAGGTGTCGCATAGTGCTTCAGTAGCTTGCCCAAAGTCACACATCTGAGTGCAGAACCTTCGCCTGTCAGAGTTAAAGTGCTTTACTCTACTTTTGTAGACTTGGCGTTTTATGACCAAATTGTTTTTATTATCTTTCAGTTAAACTGTTATATCATCCAGGTCAAAATGTATAGAAGAAAGTACAGTTGACCCTTGAACAATGCGGGGGTTAGGGGCATTGACCGCCCCCCAATGGAATAAAAAAAATCTCTATATGACTTTTGATTCCCCAAAAACTTAACTGCTAGTAGCCTACTGTTGACTGGAGACCTTACCTATAAGATAAATAATTGATTAATATGTATTATATACTGTATTCTTACACTAAAGTAAGCTAGAGAAAAAATATTAAGAAAATCATAAGGAAAATATATTTACTGTCTATTAAATGGAAGTGGATCATCATAAAGGTCTTCATCCTCGTCATTTTCACATTGAGTAGACTGAGGAGGAAGAAGAGGGATTAGTCTTACTGTCTCAGGAGTGGCAGAGGTGGAAGAAAATCCATGTATAAGTGGACTTGCACAGTCCAAACCCATGTCGTTCAAGAGTCAACTATACTATTCTGTGCCGTATCCTGGCATTAGGAAACATAGTTTATACACACAAAAGTAGCTAAGAAACTACTTTAAAAAAATAAACCATTTCTTCAACAGACACTTTAAAGCACCTACAAAGGTGATCCTGGCATTTGAGGTATTTGCTGATAAGATAGCTGACATATAAATATTTATCTCATTCTTAGAGCCCAGCAATTGATAGCTATTGTCAACTAACGAGTTTCATAAATGTTCTAAGAAAATTGGCTGTGTGTGTGGTAGTTAAATAGTATAAAGCATGTCAAATGAGCCTCAGATTATATCACCATTTTGAGAAATTCCAATGTGTATTATTTACTTTTAGAAGAGAAACAATGTATTTCTGTTCCTGATATTTTTTAGTTTGCCATTTCAATCCAATGACTACGTACATGCACCTTTTATGTACATCTAGTAGGAGACAGAAACAAGAAAAATGACAAGGACACAGCACTGCCCTCAGGGAGCTCACCTGAGTCTAATGGGTGGAGCGAGATATTTGCACAATTTACACTAAAAAAATCATAAGTATTGCTGGAGAAATATGACTAATTTTCCCCAAAGGATGAAAGGCTATATCAGCCCGTAAGAGTGAATAGGTTATAAAAATTGAAGTTTTATTATCTATAAGCATAGTTTACCATACAGTAATCAAATGCCGTATTACTTTAAGATTGTTTGTTTGGGAAATCTTGCACTCTACAATTCGTAAGATGAACAAACATGTTCTGAAAATCCAGAAGGAGCTAGAAGAAGCTAAAGAGAAGCTTGCAAGGCAACACAAACGGGTAAGTCTTTTGTCGATTCATAAATGGTTAGAAGGTATACTGGAAACTCTGGAGAGTATTCAGAGTCCATTACCTTGATGGTAATTTATTTTTGTAAGTCCAGAGTATGCAGAGCTGTTTACAGAAGCAGAGGAGGAGGAAAGAACAGGTGGTCTGTTGTGCGTTGTTATACTGCACAGTGAACCTCTTTAGGAAGCTGCGAACTTTACTTTCCATAGTTCACCGTCTCTGAGTCAGCTTCGTGTTTGCACTTTCCAGAAGGAAAAAGGACACTTATATCTGTAAGATTCTCTGGTACAAGAGGGAAAGAGGGAGAAGATTATAGATAACTTATCATTTTCCTGGTCTTGTGGGGAGGGATGGGACAGTCATTCACAAGTTTATAAAATACTTCTCGTAGTAATAAGTTGTTTAGTATTTTAGCCATTTTGGAGGGAAGCAGTGAGCTGGCTGCATGCTGTGACTTAACATGATACTACTGACAATATTCAGTACTCATGACAGTATTTGCCAGTGTTACGCATATTTACCAGACTAGAAGGTGAAAAAAAAAAATGTTCTTATTCTCACCTATAGAAAATTTGAGTGCCAGACTCCATATAGACATACATATATACATATATGGATATAAACACACTCATAGACCTAAAATACTGCAAGGTAAATGGTGTCATCCCATTTTATAGATATATAAATAGAGACGCAGAGAAGTTAAGTAACTTGCTCAAGGTTATATAGCTTGTAAATGACAGAACTAGATTCTGACCCAGGTCTGTCGGACTCCAGAGACTTTCCCTCATGCCACACCATTTCCAAAAATGTGCTGTCTAGTACAGTAGCTGCTATCCACATGTGACTATTTTAATTCAAATTAATTAAAATTAAATACAATTTAAAATTCAGTTCCTTGGTCACACAAGCACATTTCAAGTGCTTAGTAGTAACATGTGGCTCATGGGCTACTGTAACAGGCAGCACAGATTTGTATAATATTTCTGTCTTTGTAGGAAGGTCTATTAGGTGATAGGGCTCTAGAACTTTACCTTAGAGTGGTGTTAGGAAAAGATAATCATGCACCTAGGTGCCTAGAATGTAAAGTAGACCTCATAACAGGTGCTGCATTAGAGATAAAAAACCAGATTCTATAAAATCAGGGGGGGTTCTGGTAATTTTGCTTAAAGCCTGGAGGAGGCTATCATAGATGGGGCCTTAGCATTAGAGTATTATCTAGAAGGATTACCAAGCTTTCTAGGTTCAGTGATGTCACTTTCATGCTGAAAGGACCTTGGTGTGTATTATGTGACACCTAGAACCAGATTCTGGCTCTGCTACTTTCTGGGTAGGTGATACTGAGACTATTATCTAACCTCTCAGCCTGTTCCCTTCTCTGTAGAATGATGATAAATCATGCCTTATTTTTCTTCTGCCTTTTTTTTAAAAACCAAAGCAAATGCTATAAACTCTCCAGGGTGAGCTGGGAGGGAATTATTAAAGGTCTATAGGGATTTATTGAGCCTATCATTGCCAGCAGAGATGGGTTTGTTTTTGGTTTTTGTTCGTTTTGAGACAAGGTCTTGCTCTGTTGCCTGGGCCAGAGTGCAGTGGCATCATCATAGCTCAAATAACTGGGACTACAGGCACACCACTACCACCATGCCTAGCTAATTTTTCTAGTTTTTGTAGAGATGGGTATCGCTATGTTCCCCAGGCTGGTCTCAAACTCCTGGCCTCAAGCAGTCCTCCCACCTTGGCCTCCCAAAGTGCTGAGATTACAGGTGTGAGCCACTGTGCCCAGCTTCCAGCAGAGGTTCTTGGGCAGTTCACTTTGAATTATTCCATGTCAGTTGTAGCAGTTTCTAAATTATGTCAAGGACGGGCAGCCTATGGCTCATGAGCCACAAAAGGGCCTACCCAGCTTTTACATATGGCCCATTACTGGACGAAAGATTAGCAAGCTGCCTCCCTGTTGTTATTGCTCAGATGGTCAGATAGTGATATTTTGTGGCCAAGACCCCCACAGCTGTTAACCAAGAGAAGTACACGGAACCTCTGAGTGAAAAAACGGTGTCTCCGAACCACAGCTGGACTTTGGCGGGGTGTGTGTGTGTGTTTGGGGTGGGGGGTACTTTCACTATCCTATACATCTTTAAATACCATTTGACCAGACAAAATAAAACCCTTCCCCTTATTTGATAATATTTAGAACATTGGCGTTCTAAATGATATTTTCCTTTGTTCCTTTGCCTTCTGCAGCGAAGTGATGATGATGACAGAAGCAGTGACAGGAAAGATGGGGCTCTTGAGGAGCAAATAGAAAGACTGCAGGAGAAAGTGGAATCTGCTCAGAGTGAACAGAAGAACCTCTTCCTTGTCATATTTCAGGTATCTTGGCTTGGGACATTGATACATATGATAAAAGGAATGAATGTATTTCTTTAGTTTTAAAAAATGTTACTTTTAATCATAAAAGGAATACACGCACATTTATATAAGAGTTTAAAAATACAAAAATTTACAAAGGAAATAAAATTCACCACTTGGAGGCAACTGTGTATACCTGAGTTGTGCTGTTTTATTTAGCATTCTTGCATGAACATTCTTCCATACTTTAAAAAAAATTGTAGGCTGATTTTGCTAAATACATTTCTCATAGTGAATTATTACCTATTTTTGATCATTTGGGTAATTGCTTTCCTTCCATGAACATTTTTGTGCATAGATCCCTATTAACATTTCTGATGATTTCATTAGAATAGATGCAAAGAAGTAATACTACTGGGATAAGTACATTAAAGATCTTTATGTATTGCCAGAAAGAAATGTACCAAGTCACACTATTACCAGTCTGCTTTTCTAGATTGAGAGCACTTAATTATGAAAGTTAAGAGCACATGCCACAAAGACAGCGTGGAACAAGTAATACTTTGAGGGCTTTCATGAATTTGCTTCTGAAGTACAAAATTCTAATACTTCTTTAACTCTGTTCCCCCTTTCCAGCGTTTTATCATGATCTTAACTGAGCACTTAGTACGATGTGAAACTGACGGGACCAGTGTTTTAACACCATGGTATAAGAACTGTATAGAGAGGCTCCAGCAGATCTTCCTACAGGTTTGTGGGGAACTTTGATTAGATAATAAACACCACTGTTCTCAGCCACAAAGATTTTCCATTTAAAAAATCCTTGTCAAATTTGTCAGGAGGTTATGTAGTACCTGTAAGCACTTCACTTCATGTCCATTTGCTGCTACTATTGTTCATCAGAATACCTAGACTTAACCCAGGACAATCTCTGTACCTTAAGAAAAAAAAAAAAAAAAAGACTTTAGGCTTAAATTGGTTCTATATCACTTAGACTCCTAATTGCCATTTTCTGTGTTAGGAAGCCGAGCTATGATATAAAATGTAGAGGAAAAAATGCTAAGGGAACAGTAATTGGATTTATAAAAGTCCTTAAAAATGTTCAGATGATTAACAGTGCCCACAGAAGCAAGGTAAGCTCCCTGGGGTCTCTCTGCAAAAGCAAAATGCCAGCACCTACTCTCAGCTAGATTTAAGTTAAAGATATGTAGAAGAGTGGAGCTAATTCTTTGTATCTTTAGACACTAACCCCCTCCCAAATCCTCATTTATTTGTTCTAGAAAAGAGTGATGAATGCAGAAGTCTTTTTTAAGTGAAAGTTTTTAAATCTCCAAATAGGAATTCCCTCTAGCTTTTATAGTTACTGCCAGTTAAAAATCTTTAACAGCACCTAGTCCTATAGCAATTCTGAGTATATTCAAATCTATATATGAACACATAGAAGAGAGTGTTTCATTTTCTGGCACTTTTTATCTTCCTAGGTCAGTCCCTGTCTGGGCTGTTTTTTTAAAAGTCATATTATGTCCTAATTAGAGGAGAGACCCAGCTGAAGCTACTCTGTATTAGTAGTAGTAATAGCAAGCAGGTGCTGCTGTCACTGCCTAAATCATTAATTGTATTTTTTAAAAAGTTACTGAACATCCATTATTCTCACTTCTTCTTACATTTTCTTAATGTTGGGGCTTTTCAGGGGCCTATTATTCCTATCAGCACTATTTTTTTCCTACCTCATCCCTCAGCATGGGTGGCTACTGAGGGAAGTGCTCTACAGGATTGCTTATTACATGCTTTTTTCCAACCTGAACACCCCCTTTTTTGTGTCCACAGCATCACCAGATAATCCAGCAGTACATGGTGACCCTGGAGAACCTTCTCTTCACTGCTGAGTTAGACCCTCATATCCTGGCTGTGTTCCAGCAGTTCTGTGCCCTGCAGGCCTAAGGGTCATTTTCCCCCCGACTCATGTCAAAGATTTTTTAAAAACATCTTAAAATTATTTGTCTTATTTTTGATGGTTTGAATGCTTGCTTTCTTGTAGTGTCCTTTTACTTCTTAAAGGAAACAAAAGGGGAGGACGAATATGGCTTTACTTTTAATTGCCCCTAAAAAGCAAATATTTCCTAATGACAATAATGTGACAATGACCATGATGTATTATACATGTGACAGATACAACTTTCTGTATTCAATTTGATATTTCTCCTTAAGGCACAAAATAACCGATTTGAGGTATGTGATACATTAGAGGTCAAGCTTACATAGTATGTAGAACTGATGGGTTTATTACCAAGTAGAATAGCTTTTAACAGCTGGCAGATAACTTAACATAGCTGAAATAAAACTGAAAGTATGTTTTTTAAACTTTGGTATTTCATGATTTATCATTTCAGTCTACTTTGAAATTGGTGGTTTCTTACTGTAGGTGTATTCCATTTGAAACTTTCTCTTTAAAATGTTTTTCTTAAGTAGTATCTTAAGACACTGTTAGTATATAAAAGTGTTACTGTTTACACCAACAGTTCCCAAATTTGTCTTAACATAAATCACCTGGGAATCTTTCAAGTTATTTTAGAATTTAAACCACAATCTATGGGGGTAGAACACAGACATCATCAGTAGGACTTAAAGCTCCCCAGGTGATTCCAAGTTTGGTGACCATTATCTTAGAGCATCTGGTCACTTCCTGGAGTCTCTGAGAGGGATTTGTCAAAGGTCATACAGTAAGTTACATATAAGGTGGAACTAGAAGTAGCTAGACTGACTAAAACTATATTTGGAATAGATGTGGGCTTAGATTTTTTCTATGGAACTTGGTGCAAATACCTACTAATTCCTGAGCCTGTTTCCTATATGGTGTTGAGACTTAAGATGAGAGAGTTTTGTAAAATAACATACTAAGTGTAAGGAATCACGTAATATTCCAGATATCTAGGATTTTTAGACTTTTTCCATTAAACCTTAGAAAAAATTTACCAATAGTCCTAAAACTGTCAGTACTTACTTTTGTGCATTTGCACAACATAGATGTCTTTTTACTTATTACATTGTAAGTTTATGAAGCATTGTTTTCCATGTTTTGATATATTTTTTTCTTTGGTTTATCGTACCTCTTAGTGGCTACAGAATATAGTCCACTCAATAGATGGGAATTCTTGGGATTTTTAAATACCATACCATTTATGACAGGAAATAATTATTCAAAAAAATCAAGGTTGTGTCGCCAGTTACTAGCAGAAAGAGGACTAAAATCCAGGTTCTTGGCTAAATATTGTTTATACTGTTCTTCCCCATAGCTTAAGCACAGCACACACTATGTAATTACAGTTGACCTTTGAACAACACAGGTTTGAACTACATAGGTCCACTTAAACATGGGTTTTTTGCCAGCCCTGAGACAGCAAGACCATCCCCTCCTCCTCCTCAGCCTACTCAATGTGATGATGAGCGTGAAGACCCTTATGACGATCTACTTCCACTCCAATAGTAAATATATTTTCTCTTTCTTATGATTTTCTTAACATTTTCTTTTCTCTAGCTTATTTTACTGTAAGAATACAGTATATAATACATACACAAATTATGTGTCCATCAACTCTTTTTTTTTTTTTTCTTTTGAGACAAGAGTCTCACTCTGTTGCCCTGGCTAGAGTGAGTGCCATGGCGTTAGCCTAGCTCACAGCAACCTCAAACTCCTGGGCTCAAGCAATCCTCCTGCCTCAGCCTCCCGAGTAGCTGGGACTACAGGCATGTGCCACCATGCCCGGCTAATTTTTTCTATATATTTTTAGTTGTCCGATTAATTTCTTTCTATTTTTAGTAGAGACGGGGTCTCACTCTTGCTCAGGCTGGTCTCGAACTCTTGAGCTCAAACAATCTGCCCGCCTCGGCCTCCCAGAGTGCTAGGATTACAGGCGTAAGCCACCGCGCCCGGCCTCCATCAACTCTTTGTTATCAGTAAGACTCTGGTCAGCAGTGGGCTGTTAGTAAGTTCCGGGGGAGACAAAATTTATATGTGAATTTTTGTGCAGGGGGTCAGCACCCCTAATCTCTGTGTTGTTGCAGGGTCAACTGTAGTTTGAAATGACTCCTGTCCTCAAGAAGCCAAAGGATAATCTTTAAGGCATTGGGAACTTTTTTTGATCCAAACTGCTTTGTAATCCTTTCACAATAGACTGCAAAGTTTGGCTAGTTATATTTGATATACATTCTAGAGAAATGTGTAGGTTTTCATTTCCTTTTACTTGATCCTCTGTTCATGTATAATGGTTGCTTCTAACAACTGTTCATCGATGTGACTCTGCTCTGTGCCAGTCTAACAGCTTAGGCATTTGGAAAATCTGAACTAGGAATTGAATTTAGAAGAAATAAAGGTGCAGGAACAAACATTCAACAGTCGCTTTCCCCACTAATGAAGCTCACACAGACAAAGGATGGCATGTCATTGTCCATCGTACCTTGCAATAAATCAATATTCTGTTAAATTGTATTGATGCAATTTAACATGCTTTTGTCCAAGTGAACTATACTGTTTTCCTAATCTATAATTATACCTAAAAAGGCAAGATGAGGAAAGCCAACCTGGGTAGAACAGATTTGGCTGTCAGTGATGTCTGGGTACTAGATTGTCTTAAATTGATGAGGTTAAAAGAGTGAATAGAAGCAAACCTCAACAGGACAAATCTGTAACTGTAATGGCCTTGGTAATATGTGCTCATTAACTAGTGGTTATATGCCAGGTGCTATAGATTCACCCTATTAAAGCCTTAACACTGTCCTTTAAGAGATTATGCCCTCTTTACAGATAAAGGTCCACAGCTAGTAAGTGGAATTTGAACCCAGATTCTCTGGCTCAAGAGCTCCTCATCCCCCACAATGCAGTATTGCTACTGTCAGTAGCCTGGTCCGTCTGTGGTAATCAAGATGGAAGCTTTTTTCCCCAGGGAGATTTTGCTGCCTATGCAGAATCAATTTTTATTGAGCTATATAATAATTAGTATAGCACATGTAAAAAAATAAAGACTTGAAAAATACATTAAACATTTCTGTGTTGAATGTGGAGAACATTTACTAATTATATCTCAATCCTAATTATTTGGGCTTTACTTGTTTTGACTTTGCCTGTCTCCAAGCATTATCTCCACCAGCTGGTCTAGAGAGAAAAATGGAAATGTGTAAACTTCCTATTTCTTCTATTTGTACCATAGGATAAAAAGTCATGTCAAACAACAATTCGAAAATACCCAGTTTAAGTTGTATTTATTTTTGTCAAAAAAAAAACATACCTGTAATTTTTCTATAAGATTCGGAAAAATTTGACTAGCTAAACTTGACCCAGATACTGCCTGGTGTGTTGTGAGGTTGTAGGTTGTCACTTCTTCTTACCCTTATTTAGATACGCATGGAAGCAAGCTGTCTTCCCTTCCAGCACTAAAGGATAACCATAAGGCACTTATCATGGTGTGTGCCTGGCTCCTGGTAAATGTTAGCAGTTCTTAGGATAAACATATTAGCACCTTCTTTGATGAACAATCAGATATTTAACCTTGAAGACAGTGTTTCCATTTTAATCCAGCATTTGAAAAGGGCCATGTAGACATAATGTTAAAGCCTGTAGCAGTAGGCCCCAGGAGTACAGAAAACATGATGAGACTCCTATAATTCAATGTTTATCCCTGCTGTGTGTCAGTACTTTTCCCAGCAATAGCTCCCCACTGTCTGTACTGTCATGGAGACAGAAATAGTCCTAAAACACCTGACTCGGAATCTAGTGTTTGCCTTGGTCTCTTTTTCCCAATTTGTAGTTCTGACCCACCACTTTTGAACCTCCTCTACCACTCAGCCCCCATCCCTGCTGTAAAAAAGCAATCACAGACCTGACATTTTGCGCACTGCCAGGCCATACCATATGATTATTACTGATGCATTATTTATACAAGTGTTTAATTCATCTATGAAGACATTATGTTTTGGGGAATTTTGAACAGGGCCAATCTATTATAAATTTCCTTTATTTAAATACAAAACTGTATAAAATGGATCACTGAACTAATAATCACATTTTTTCATACGTCAGTTCATGGCCACACGTAGTACAAGTCTTCCGGTACATGTCATCCTCTACGTTTTCTTCTGGTCCATACTCATGTTGATGAGCAATCGTTTCCCTTTTCCACAAACTGCTTCTTACTGCTCGCCGCAATTCTGAGAAAAAAATACAGCTTTTCAGTGGTGCTTTTTAGCTGAATCCAAAAATAAATCCATCAGGCTTTCAGGGTGTATGTATTTAAACCGTATGTTTTACAGCCTTAGTTTTATAACAAATCAAAGTTGATTATACAACCTTGACAGGCTTACTTTCTCACCTGACCACCTTGGCCAGTGAAATCATTCAAGTCATTGTTGGAGTAGTGTGAAATGAGATTCCAAAATGTGTATGTGGTTAAGAAAACCAAATTCAGAAATGAGAGGAGTAACAGAACCGAGTACATTGAGACACATTTGATTTCAGGTAACACGATGCCCCAGTAGGAATGGGGAGTCAGTTGAGATTAACTAGGAAAAAGAAGTATTTCTAACTTCTGTGTTTATAAGTCAGGAGCTACCTTCTATAAGAGGTAAGTCAAGCTTTGCTTGCGAGAAAACTAGAAAACCAAGAACTCTACCACTATGCTGATGTGTTTTCATCTTAGAAAATGTGCTCATGCAATTGTTTGAGTCTTAAAGTTCTTTATCTTATAAAATGACAGCATTATTTTAGGAAAGAGGTTGCTTATTGCAAAGTACAACCTAAAAATAAGAATCAAAGAATATTAAGAGCTGGAAATAACCATAGAGTTTTTATTTTACTTCATTTTCCTTTGCAGGTAGGGAAACTGACCAAAGACAGCATGTGAACGCAGCCATCCTAGCCCAACGTTAGGAGCTTTTCCGCTATCTCATGCTAAAGTCATTTTACAGAGAAAATTATCTTGGATTCTCTGAAAGCAACTAAGTCAATCATATTTTAAAGGTTCACATTCCATATTACCTTAAGACACACACCAAACCTTAGTGCTAATTGGAAATTAACAAGCTCATAACTTCTCAGTTTCTAGCTTAATGAATAAAAAGCACATGTAATTGTTTACATTTCTGTTCTCACCAGTGATCCACCAGCTCACCACTGTCTTGGACAGTAACACCACCTATGGGAGATTATGATAGCTATCTTGATCTCAACCATAAATATCAACAAACACCAAGTAATCACATTTTTCCTAATCCATTTAAGATCTATGATAAGTAGTATCACAATACTACTTGAATCTTTGTATTTTCAGCTATTATTATATCATGAGAGATAAAAGCAAACATGTAGGGCTATGTATCAGGCCCTGTTCTAAGCACTTTAAATGTATTTAATCTTCACAACCCTTTGAGGTTAGTAGAACTGTCATCCCAGTTTTACAGATGAGAAGGCTAAGGCACAGAGAAGTTGTAAGTTACCCAAGGTCAAACAGCCAGTTGATGACAAAGGTACAGTCTAGCTCAGGTCCATGTTCTTAACCACTAAGCTGTGCTGCTTTTTTCACACCTCCAGCATGAAAAGCACTTTCTTTGAGATTATTTTTAAGCTTCAATGCTTGAAATACACCTCTAGATACTTAGTTTCCAGCCTGGGGGAAAAATCATGTTCACCCAAACTAATCTTTACTTGTGTCAGTCTCCCTCATTCTGAAGAACGCTGGTTTTTCTAGATATATCTGCAATGCCCTCCTTTCTTTTATTATTTTTGCTTAGGACGTTTTTTAAATAAAAAATAAATGATATGCTGACCAGAACTACACAGATGCCTCCTAATTTCAGATAATAATAGGAAAATGTTTCCTGTTTGAGTTCCAACACCCTCTTTTCAACTCTGTTCTGATGTAAGGTGTCCTATGTACTTTACTACCCCAGTGAGAAAAGACCTCAAAATTTGACTGCAGCCCAATGGAAGGAAGGAAGGGAGGGAGGAAGGGAGGGAGAGAGGGAAGGAGAGGGAAGGGAACAAGAAAGGAAAATTATTTTCTTAACATTAAAAAAATACACCAAAAATAATCTAGCTTTCTAGCCATGATTGAACCTAAGGTTTTATGCTGACTTTGACTTTTTCTTCCCATCCTTCAGCTAGTCTATCAGGCTATGTAATGATAACAATAAAGCCCTATCTTCCATATTAACTAGACATTCCTGGAAAGACTTGTGCCAGAAAGTAAGGAAGTATTTAGAAACTGGTAAGTTTGTCTTTTTCTTGCCCTTCTTTCCCTTTCTGAACAATCCAGTCCTAAAGCCATTAAGTGGAGCAAGTAAAGCAGGCATCCTTAGTAGGGTGGAGAGAGCCCAGGAGAGGTAAGGAGAGCT